ACAATAGGTGACACCGGGGAGCCCATGGCACATCCATATTTTTGTCTGTAAAAACCCTCGTTGTATATGAAATATGTGGTGGTAAGGCAGAGGTCTAACAGTGTGCAAATCTGATCGAGGATGAAGTTGCTTCTGTCTTCCAAGGCGCTGTCTTCTTGTAGTCATTTTCTGACTGTGTCCACTGCCTCTGATGTAGGTATGCAAGTGAAGAGAGAGACTACATCAAAGGACACCTTAGTTTCATCTGGCTCAAGTGAAAGTTTCTGGACCTTGTCGGTGAAGTTGGTGGAGTTTTTGATGTAATGTGGGGTGTTCCCCACCAGGGGTGCTAGGATGGCAGCAAAGTGTTTCAAAATGTTTTAAGTGGCCGAGTTTATGCTGATAACAATGGGTCTGAGTGGGACCCCTTCTTTGTGGATCTTAGGAAGTCCGTAAATATAGCGTATGGCATCCCCTGGGGCACAAGGGTTAAACAAAATTCACATTTACCTCATGATAGGGTACAACAGTTTTCCACTCCAGTTAATTGGCCGCCAACCTGAAAATAAGTTTGTCGCCTTTCTATGAACTCTGCGTCCACAGGACACTGTTGCTCATCTCTTCTCTCTCTCTTCCTGCAGAGTGCAGTTGGCTCCCCAGTTACTCCAACCCCCTCTACCCGAGACTACTTCAGGGTTCGCTGGAGCTGTAGTACATACCAATGACATTATAAAAAATAATGACATACACCTCAAAATACAAATACAAAGCCTGTCCATTTAACACATTAGTGACACATTTGAGACACATTAGTGGTGTGTGATACTGCATATTTTGGTATTGAGCCAGTATTGGCTAATACTTTTCAATTAATAAGATGGATGCGTCTTTGAATTGCTAAATCTCAATTAATTTTCATGACCTTAAGTGTTTTTTGGGATGTTTCCTTTTTTATTATTAAATAGTTAAAGCCCAGGACATAATTAGGACAAAGTTTATAATTAAATAGAAAATGCTTTATTATTGTGGCGGAGCAATCACGCCTCACCGGCTTAAAACCTGTGCTCTGATTGTGTTGTTGTTGGTGGTGGTGATGTGTAGAGCTGGTAGTGGGAGAGCTGCAGCTGTTGAATGTACTGTTACAGCAACTGTGTGATTGTTTTAAGAATAAATGATGCTGAGAAGCATGAAAATGATATTGGATATAATGCAAAAATTACAATTTAAATTCTCAACAACAAAAACAACAACTGGTGAAAATATAAATAATACGTAAACAACTTAACAACCCCCAAAGCGTCTAGGTCACGTCATGTGACAGTGCAACATCTAAACACAAGAGGTGGGAGGGGTAGCAAAGTGTGCCTGCTCTCCTTACACAGGAGCGGCGTGTCTGGTGACCTGGCTGTTTCGTCTTTGCCGAAACCACAGCATTGCAAACAAGAGCAGAACTTAAAGCAAAGAATCGATCTCATCAAGCTAGTATCGATCCGATACCGACTTGGTATTGATACAATCGATTTTTGGATCGATCTACCCACCACTAACACACATCACATACCTTACAGGCCTTTATATACATTCTTGAACACAGTGAACATTTGTATTTAACCATCAAAATAAATGAACTACTTCAATAAATGAACTATTTATATAGCCAGGGCTACATACCTAATGTCAGTCTTATCCCCTGGGTATTCCATGCCCCATAAACATCCAGTGCACAATGCATCAAAACCTACGTCACACATTCACGCAAGGTCAGCTATCAGATGCTCACTCTCAGGTGTTCAACCCCATCCACCATGATAAGATGACATTTGATGGAGCATACAATTGATCTGAAAGCATTATTTAAACTAAATAACCTAAAAAAGTAAGTAACCTGGTTTGCACATTTTGATTGTAATGCTGCCTCATTTTCAATTATCGTGAGGACCACATATTTTAATATGGCTCACTTTATCTCAGTCTTCCCCATTGTTTAGTTGTGTTTTAAAACATTACTCTAGAACAGCGGTGCTCAGCCACCGGGCCAGTCCGTGAGTCATTTGGTTACCGGGGCGCAAGATTTGAGGCTCGGTTGTGACATTTATGGCTTTCAGGGTTTTTATTTTTGTATTGTTTGTATTGTTAACTCTGTCTCCCTGGGTCTTTTCACATGTGTTATGAATAAATCTTCTTTATTTTGGCACCAGTGCTGGTTTTATTTTGCTATTCATCAGCGACACCTTAAAAATATTGTCGGAAATAAACCGGTGCGTGGCACAAAAAAGGTTAAGGACCACTGCTCTAGAACACCTTGAGTGGGTTTCCTCAAAGTCCTCCAAGTGCTGGATGAACATATGTTTAAAATATAACTTGGTCAACTAGTAATCACGACTACAAATGTGCTATGGAAATGCAATTACCTTACGCGTCTGTCTGCTAGTACTTGTGCAAGGACTAGCATCCACAATGTAAGAAAATAATGCAACATTAAGTAAAGTAGAATCCGTTTATTATGAGCTAACTAAGATTAAAACAGCTATCAAAGATTGAGTGGAATGTCGTGAGAACAGAGAAGCACCTGAACTGCCATTTTAGTGAGGTTAAGAAACACATAAAAATTCCAAATATGCAACATTTCCTCCCAATGCTTTGAATGCAGACTAATGAATGACTTTTGTGCTCTAAATTTTAATTTGTTTAGGGGCGATCGTGGCTCAAGAGTTGGGAGTTCGCCTTGTAATCGGAAGGTTGCCGGTTCGAGCACCAGCTTGGACTGTCTTGCTTGTTGTGTCCTTGGGCAAGACACACCCGTTGCCTACTGGTGGTGGTCAGAGGGCCCGGTGGCGCCAGTGTCCACAATTCCAGAATTTTCTTGCAATTTAAACTTTCCAAAAAATATATTTAAATTATTAATACTATGATATTTTTCTGTCTTAGGTATACCAGCATAAGATTGTGTGTGATAATATATGTTTTTCTCCCCCCAAAATTGGTGCAAAAACAAAAATATACACTCTTTCTACTCTATGAAACATTACTTAAGGATTAAAAATCTGTTGATGTTCCAATCTAAATTAAATAAAGCTGTATTGTATCATTTGCTGTAGCCAATTATTGTGAGGGAAATCTTGGGCCCAGTCAAACCATACTGTTGAAGACTTAGAATGTCAACACTATGTAAGGGTTAATCCATGACCACATATTCTCAGGAAGGTGAGAAGATGACAAAACCCCTTTGTTTGAAGACCTATATAAACCAATGGAAACAATGTGTGCCCATATACAGACAATTTTAGATGGAAATGGAGATAGCAGCTCTTGTAATTGGTCTGGTATTGGCTGTGTGTTTGTTTCACCTCAACTCAGCTGTTGCCTTTGCAGTGTGTCTAGATGGTATGAGAAAAATGACTAGGCATATAGGAGCTCAAGCTGGTATGACGACATCCTCTCTGAACTGCAAGCTGCAGGGAAGCACTCGTCTACCTGCATTTTCAAAGGATGGGGACTTTGTTATTGGTGGTGATTTTTCCCTTCACATCTACATGAACACAGTTTACAGTGACTACACCAGCATGCCTGAGCCTGCAAAATGCAAAGGAAGGTTAGTAAATAAGAAAGTCAGTAATGGGAAGAAGAAGGTGTAAAAACATGTTGGACTGTATGAGGAGAGAAATGTTTTCATGTGTGTTATGATCAACGGAACTACATTGATTCTGTATAGTGTTAAAAAAATGTAAAAAATAGTCTTTTATTCTTTATAAAAAATTTGTTGTGTTTTAAAAAACAGAAATTATACAATATGTTAAATAACAGTTTTATAAAGGAAACACAGGAAAGGAATTATATTTAAAAGGAAATGAAAACAAATGAAATTTGTTTAAATTATCCTGTTGTTGATTTTTTCTTTATTTTAATTTTTTAACATTTAACTTAAGCTAAATCTAC